GTAGGGAAATGTATAGTCATCGTCGTGCCAACCCCCCCCAGTTGTCAATAAGTCCAACTCAAGTCTTTGAACTCTCTTTTCCATTGCAAATTGAACCCATTTATCAATGGAACTTGTAAAGACGTCATCTAGAAAAAAGATAACCCTGAATCGTTCAATGCTTTGGCCTTTATGCTGCTCCAGCACGTGATTCACCCAATTGACGTATTTATGGCCTTCTTCTTGGTCTCGTTTATCACAGTCAAGTTGATAGAGGTAGTTTAAGGTCTCAGAGTCTTCAAAATTAATAGTCTCTAAATTGAGAGACGTAGTAGATGACCAGACGTACTGCCATCTCCTAGAAAGGATACTTGTAGCTACTGCTTCCTTTAGCGGCAAGAGTGACACTATGCTAACAATAACCTCATATGGCAACTCACTGATTCGGTCCTCCACCACCTTGTGCTCATCATCCTTGATTATTTTCCTTCTCTTTCGCGGCTCATCTAACTTGTACTCATCATCCTTATAATTATGGAGATATCAGAAAATTTATATAAAAAAATAAAAAAATAATAAAGTAACGCACTAGTGGTGTTGTTGCTATGGGTCTATTTGATTTCATCATTCAGTCAAATGATTTCAACTATAATTTTTTTTTCAAAAATCAAATAATAATAGCGACCGATAACAACATTAAGAAAATAAACGTACCAAAAAAATATGCAAAATTTTGAACAGGTTATATAAAGGGAAAACAAAAAAAAGTTTAAAAGGGTGCAATTTTGATGCATGCTAGTGTTAGTGTAGAAACTAGTTTGTGATGTTTACCTCGAGTTGGACAGATTGAGAGGTTGTGCTCATTCTTTTTTCCACTAAAACTGGGAGTTTGCGACGAGTCACAGCAGTGCTTGGCGTGAAGAGTTAGTTTTAGGGATTTTGTCAAATGAAAGAGGGAGAGAGAAACGTAATTGCAGATATGCCGTGCTGCAAATTTAATTTATAATTACATTGTGCGTTTTTGTAGAGAGAGAGGGAGAGCGTTTTGTATAGAGAGAGGGAGAGCGTTTTGGGGAGAGAGAGAGAGAGAGTAGTTTTAAACCATACAAAACTTTATTTAGGGTTTAGGGTTTAGGTAACCCTACCCTTCTCACACACACACGTTGAATAATAAGAAAGAGAAAATGGGTACAGTTTTTTTTTTCGCAATCTAATTAAAAAAAATAGGACAAAAAACTAACATCTCCCATTTTTCAAATAATAAAAAATCACCTTAAAGATAGGAGTTGAATATGATGTCTAGTCTTCCCCACCTCAAGATTTTGAAAACTAGTAATTCTTTTAAGTTTTCAAATCAACTTGTTCATCTTCTTATTATTTTTCACTGTGACGTTACGGGTATAAGTCTAATTTTTTGTCAATCCACTCGGCCAAGAATCTATACATATCTACTGAAGAAAAACAACTCTAGGTTTTCAAATTTAGGTAATAGGACAAAAACCCATACTAAGGAAAGGATTCAAATTCTTTCTACTGTGTCAAATATCTATATATGTTGCTCATTTGATAATCTTTGGTGATTCAGTTATCCATTATTTCTATTATCACTTGGATTCTTAGGGCTCGTTATGAGTGATTCTCCATCTAAAAAGAATGGTGTGCGATGAGGAAGAGAATGCAAGAGACCCATTTATTCATATGATGCACCAATACTGATCAACCCAGTTTTTCTTTTCTTTTTCCGCTTTAGAATTATCTGCCCATGTTTTGGGTCATTTAAACTCAACACTTATTTTCTTTTTTCTTTACTTTTACTTCATTAGATTCAAGATACTCTGAATTGCGCAGAGTCAATATAGACTGGTACGTAATGGAAAATATCCCACGTTCGTTCCGGTTCATTATGACTCTTTGAGTTGCTTGGCAAGACACTACATTAACGAAAGGACAAAAGCACCGAGCCAAAAGCTGATTTCTTATTAACACCTGAAAATTAACTCAAGAGTGGGGAAAACAAATGAGTAATCATGTCTGATTCACAATTAAATTAATTTCTAAGATAATAACTTTGGAAGAAAAAAGGGATAAAATAGTCTAGACACGAACCAACCAAAGCAACTAAAATATTTTGCTGAATTCCCTCATTGTCTGAGAGTTTTTGTAAATCGCAGGCAACTGCTTGCTGAGTTGTTGTAAACTGCGGGTAACTGCTTGAATTTTGATCCGATCCAAATATGATGTAATTAATAGGAGATGAATTTGGTGGCTTAATCCGATAACCAGATTATATTTCAAATCTGTTAACCTGTTAAGTTCACGAAACAAGTTTGGATCTTGCCTAATTCGATCCAATAATGATATGATCCCATTTGATATAACATATATTTCATTTTATTTTATTTTTACTTACTTAATATATATGCATATGTAACAATCTTGTGAATTTTGTAAATAAACAAAAATAATTTTCAATTATTTGTATATATGAAATAAATGGATCAAGTTATCGGATTCAGTATCGAATAATTCAACAAATAGGATATGGATCTAGTTGTTAAATGAGGATAATATGGTAAATTCAAAATTTTCATATTAAAAACAAAATCAGATAATATGTCCTATTTTTATGGAACATAATTACCCATATTATCTTTTTTTAATTTTAAAATAAATTTTTTTAAATAATAAATAATTGGCACACGCTGACGTGTGCCAAAGGGGCTAGTTTAAACAGAAAATAAAATATTTCCCTCCCCCGCACACATTCATATCATAGCTCTGGCGGCCATAATATTTTATTTCCTTTTTTATTTTATTTTTATTTTTATTATTTTGTAATACTAACCCTTCTTTTGTAAGTACTTACCTTTTCTTTTGTACTTCTTACCTTTTCTTTGTTTGTAAATACTTACCTTTTCTTTGTTTGTAAATACTTACCTTTTTTTAATACTCATATTGTAATTAGGATTTCTTTCCTATTGTTAACTTAAATAATTTGTACATCTATATAAATACCTTAATATTAAAGAGAAACAGCATACTTTATCATTGTTTAGCAAGCCTTCGAAATCGTAACACTGATACTGACACCTCCGCAAGAATTCCACCCTTGAATTGTTAAGCCCTTGAAACTTTACACCTCCACCTCCACCCTTGAATTGTTAGAGTTCCCTGTGGTTTTCATATACGAAGATTACAAATACTACGAATGCTACAATATGGACTATTGCAGTGACATGCAGAGAGTGAAGGACGTCAAGTGTAAGATTGAAAAAGATTCTGGCATTGCCTTTGACCAACAGAAGTTGTTTCTGGTAGTTGGAGAAGATGAGCATATAGGTCTTGAAACTTTGGAGAAAGGAGTTTTTGTAGTTTTACCTTATCCTAAGGTGGCCACGGTGCCAGATGAAGAGATTGGTTGTCATCTTGGTTCCAGGTAACTAATTCTTTTATATTTTATTAATTATTTATTTAATCATCCTCTCTATGTCCTCTCTTGATTTCCGGATGACATTAACAATTTCGTCTTCTTTCAATAGCGGTGGTCTTGACAATCCAGAGGTGGCCGCGGTGTCAAAAGAGGAGATTGATATTCATCTTGATTCCAAGTAATGAATCCTCGAATGTTATTCAATTGTTTCCTCTTTTAATACATATTTGTTTTCTTGGTTATTCCCGATGACATTGACAACTCAATTTTCTTTAGTGGTGGTGGTGGTCTTGACAATTCAGAGGCAGCTCAAGTCACAGACGAGCAAATTGCATATATTCTTAATTCTGGGAAATTAATTCTTGAATTGACCCTCTCTTTTAATAACTACGTGCTTTATTGATCATTGACATGAAATTGACTACTGCTCTTGAGTATTGCTTTCTTGTTTAGTGATGGTTCTCAAACTCAAACTGTTGAAGTGAAAGTTATGGCTTGTTCGTTAATTGATCGTCAGTCTACTCATTTTACTGAAGTGGTTGGCGTTTTGGACAACGTGTTCACACTTACACAACGGTTGAGAAAAGTGTTGCAAGTACAAAATTCACACCATATAACAGTACTTTTTAACGGAAGGGAATTGGAGCAGAACTGTTGCCCATTCCTGGATTTTCGCACAAACTTGAGCGAGAATTGGGTGGATATTATTATCCAGCAAGGAACCATTGTTGGCGCAGAGGACATCAACCAAAAGGTCATGGTCGGCGAGTGCTCAGCGGCAAATCAAATGGTTCCAGCCTGGGATCCCACCTCATTATATCTAACCCAAGAATCAAATGTTGCATCATCAGCAGCAGCAGCAGTCAATCAGACGAATGCATCAGCATTAGCAGCCAACCATACAGATGATGCATCAGAAAAAGTAGTCGGCAATGTAAGGGAAGAACATAAGATAGCGGTGAAGGTCCTAATAGGAAGGAGAAATCAATACATCATTAATGTTTATCCTAGCGACAAGGTCTCCATTTTGAGACCACGGTTGGCTCAACGATTGGCTGAATTGAACATCCCTATGCCAGCAGCAACATATCACTTCGTCGTTGGCTTGATTAAAGTCGATGATGAAGAGGTGTCGATCGATCGCGTCGGCCTAAAGAACAACATGGTAATAAAACTCGTAAGCCACGACGAGTAATTTCAAAGATGACAAGAATAACGAAAAAGACCGACATGCTATATAGTATTAGGAATTTTGTGTTTTAGTTTTTTGCTGGAGGATTATGTACCAGTTGTTTGCAACCATGTTTTGGATAATTAAACTAAGCACTTATTTTCTTTTCGTTCATTATATTGTGGATAATTTGAATTGCAAAGAGTCACTATTGGCTGTTACGTAATGGGAAATAACCCACTTTCGTTCCGAATGAAATTCTCTGAGTTGCTTGGCAAGGCACTACGTACATTAACGAACGAAAGGAGAAAGCATATACATTGATGCAAAAAGCTGATTTCTTATTAACACATGAAAATTAACTAAAGAGTCACAATAGTTAAATTAATTTCTAAGATAAAATAAGACAATCTAGAAACGAAACCAACCAAAGCAACTAAAATCTATTGCTGAATTCCATCATTGTCGGATCTCGACCTTTTGGCCCGTGGTGCTGCTTGCGTTACCTTCGAAACTTACATTATAGTTCCATCACTTCTCCAATTATTCTAAATGAGGGGAAATTGCCTCACCTTCAAATGCCACTATAACGGGTTAATTATTCAAGTATCCTAAACCTATAAATACCTAAATCTGCAGCTTCGACCAGGAAACATGGAAGAGAAACACTCGTTGGGAGCCGTGCACATGGAATGGAATTGATCTGAACCGGCTGCTCCAGAAGTGGTGCTCGGCCCAGCACCATTCTCAATCGGAGGGGAAGTGCGCCCCATCTTCCTTCTGGTTCTAATGGCTCAATCTTCAAAGCTAACATAAATTGACTGGCTACTGGAATGCATAGCATGTGTGATTGGACGACCACTACATGAGAAACATAGTTCCACAGATGTAAGTAGCACTAAGTCAATCCCAAACGAGAAAGTAATAAAAGCAAAAAATTAAACACACTAGAATATCACAATTGTTGAGATTAATTTTGAAAAGTTCATTACTAGTTTGGGCCTACAAGGACTCCTTCACTCGATAACGGGCGATATTTTCTATTATTTGTTAATGATTATACTCGAATGATGTGGCTATATTTCCTTGATCACAAATCATAAGCTTTTTTTTGTTTTTTTTGTTTTCCTAAGATTCTTAGCACATGTTGAAAGAGAAAGTGGCAGGAAATTGAAGACTTTAAGAACGGATCGTGGAGTTCAATTTATTAGCAATCACTACATGAATTACTGCAGCAAAGAAGGCATAGAAGACAGCTTACGGTTAGGCATTCCCCACATCAAAAGGGAGTCGCAGGGCAGAGAAAAACTGCAACAATCGCTGACATGACACGAAGCATGATGAAAGGAATGCAACTCCCAAATCAGTTTTGGTCAGAGGCAGTCCTGAATTGGCAATGGCCGATCCAGGATCCTTAGACCATGAGGTCATTGTGTAAAAGTCTGACATAACTTTGAAAAAATTAAATGATGGAACTTTCATTACTAATTAACTAATCAAAACACAAAACCATAATCAATTAATCGAAAGGAAAGAACATAAAATATGCGCACTCAATTTGAGTTTGTTTGCACAAGCCATCGAGTAAACATAGATAAATCAAAGTGTAATTGTTGATACTAATAAAAACCCTAGATATATTATTAAGCACTTGCACTTGCTCTTAATACTAGAGGCATATATATTCTATGGTAGAAGGCATTTTTTGTTTAAGGTATTGGATAGCATGATCTCTTGCATTCTGTTCCTCATTGACTCGCAGGAAATTGAACTCGGTTCCAGAAGGTGCACACCAAAACCGGACAGGATTTATAACAATCTTCTCCAATGCAATAACATTCTTTTTCAAGTACATGACATGTTGAACACAACATTTGTGACCACGATACCCTGATATTTCTACTTCCTTGAGGTAGTAATGGGGGCATTCGGCAGCTTTCTCTATTTTTGCCATCTTCGTATTGGATATTTTCAGACCTAACTGCACCGCACCAAAGAAACAACACTTTAGTTTACTTCACAAGAACTAGAAGCAAAACCTTCCTTTCTTGTTCTCCGTTTTATGCTTTTCTTTCTTCAGAAATATTGGCAATTGGTAATAAAATGAAGAGAAATAATGAACGAAACCACTCTAGATATGAATGCACAATATACAATTGTCTATCAAGTTGTATGTGTAATCAGTCAATCTATCTATGAATAATTATGTATGCATACCCCCAAAACAAGTCTCTGCATGTAAGGACATGCCTTCATGAAAGAAGCTAAGCGACCAAGGGACCAATGGTAGCCTGCATCAACTAATAATTGCAAATGCCTTAGATTTGCTAGTATGGGAAGTACATGATTTTGATTGTAGACCTGAAATCCACCAAACCAAATCACAAGTAAGGAACAGAATAAATTACAAAAAGGAAGAAAAGAAAACCGACACATCACATATAATAATACTACATACTAACCGCTCCTCTGATATCTAGCTTCAGAATCTTTATATGAGAAAGACAAGGCGAAAGTTGGCTGAACACAATCCTTGTGAATTCAGCATAAGCGTACCACTTGTAATAGGTTACATCAACAAGCAGCGGTACATTCTTGAGATGCAAAGTTATCAATGATCCACAATAATAAATAAATGAAACAATGTTTGCGTCACAAATCTCAATGTTTTTAAGTCGTTGACAATGTTTTATCTCCAAATATTTCAATGCGATCGAGGGACCGACAACTCTTAAATTAACTAAATTTTTGGCAACATCTAGAGACAACCGCTCAAGAAGTGGACAGTTGGACAAGAATAACTCAACAACTTCCCCGGTCACACCAACATGTCGAAAATGAATAACTTTGAGGAACTTGAAACCAATATTATTGTAATATCCACCAGAACCTAGACTTGGAATGCCATTGGAAGCAAATTCTTCCTTTTCCATACCCAACAGTTCGTAGGGTAATGTATAGCGAGCGTCGGTCTACTCCCCGCCCAGTTGTCAATAAGTCCAACTCAAGTCTTTGAACTCTCTTTTCCATTGCAAATTGAACCCATTTATCAATGGAACTTGTAAAGACGTCATCTAGAAAAAAGATAACCCTGAATCGTTCAATGCTTTGGCCGTTATGCTGCTCCAGCACGTGATTCACCCAATTGACGTATTTATGGCCTTCTTCTTGGTCTCGTTTATCACAGTCAAGTTGACAGAAGTAGTTTACGGTCTCAGGGTATTCAAAATTAACAGTCTCTAAATTGAGGGTCGTAGTAGATGACCAGACATACCGCCATCTCCTAGAAAGGATACTTGTAGCTACTGCTTCCTTTAGCGGCAAGAGTGACACTATGCTAACAATAACCTCATATGGCAACTCACTGATTCGGTCCTCCACCACCTTGTGCTCATCATCCTTGATTATTTTCCTTCTCTTTCGCGGCTCATCTAACTTGTACTCATCATCCTTATAATTATGGAGATATCAGAAAATTTATATAAAAAAATAAAAAAATAATAAAGTAACGCACTAGTGGTGTTGTTGCTATGGGTCTATTTGATTTCATCATTCAGTCAAATGATTTCAACTATAATTTTTTTTTCAAAAATCAAATAATAATAGCGACCGATAACAACATTAAGAAAATAAACGTACCAAAAAAATATGCAAAATTTTGAACAGGTTATATAAAGGGAAAACAAAAAAAAGTTTAAAAGGGTGCAATTTTGATGCATGCTAGTGTTAGTGTAGAAACTAGTTTGTGATGTTTACCTCGAGTTGGACAGATTGAGAGGTTGTGCTCATTCTTTTTTCCACTAAAACTGGGAGTTTGCGACGAGTCACAGCAGTGCTTGGCGTGAAGAGTTAGTTTTAGGGATTTTGTCAAATGAAAGAGGGAGAGAGAAACGTAATTGCAGATATGCCGTGCTGCAAATTTAATTTATAATTACATTGTGCGTTTTTGTAGAGAGAGAGGGAGAGCGTTTTGTATAGAGAGAGGGAGAGCGTTTTGGGGAGAGAGAGAGAGAGAGTAGTTTTAAACCATACAAAACTTTATTTAGGGTTTAGGGTTTAGGTAACCCTACCCTTCTCACACACACACGTTGAATAATAAGAAAGAGAAAATGGGTACAGTTTTTTTTTTCGCAATCTAATTAAAAAAAATAGGACAAAAAACTAACATCTCCCATTTTTCAAATAATAAAAAATCACCTTAAAGATAGGAGTTGAATATGATGTCTAGTCTTCCCCACCTCAAGATTTTGAAAACTAGTAATTCTTTTAAGTTTTCAAATCAACTTGTTCATCTTCTTATTATTTTTCACTGTGACGTGACGGGTATAAGTCTAATTTTTTGTCAATCCACTCGGCCAAGAATCTATACATATCTGCTGAAGAAAAACAACTCTAGGTTTTCAAATTTAGGTAATAGGACAAAAACCCATACTAAGGAAAGGATTCAAATTCTTTCTACTGTGTCAAATATCTATATATGTTGCTCATTTGATAATCTTTGGTGATTCAGTTATCCATCATTTCTATTATCACTTGGATTCTTAGGGCTCGTTATGAGTGATTCTCCATCTAAAAAGAATGGTGTGCGATGAGGAAGAGAATGCAAGAGACCCATTTATTCATATGATGCACCAATAATGATCAACCCAGTTTTTCTTTTCTTTTTCCGCTTTAGAATTATCTGCCCATGTTTTGGGTCATTTAAACTTAACACTTATTTTCTTTTTTCTTTACTTTTACTTCATTAGATTCAAGATACTCTGAATTGCGTAGAGTCAATATAGACTGGTACGTAATGGAAAATATCCCACGTTCTTTTTTTTTTTTTTGTCTGAAGGAAAATATCCCACGTTCGTTCCGGTTCATTATAACTCTTTTGAGTTGCTTGGCAAGACACTACATTAACGAAAGGACAAAAGCACAGAGCCAAAAGCTGATTTCTTATTAACACCTGAAAATTAACTCAAGAGTGGGGAAAACAAATGAGTAATCATGTCTGATTCACAATTAAATTAATTTCTAGGATAATAACTTTAGAAGAAAAAAGGGATAAAATAGTCTAGACACGAACCAACCAAAGCAACTAAAATATTTTGCTGAATTCCCTCATTGTCTGAACTCGACCTTTTGCCCGGTTGTCTTCAAAACTTACACTATAGTTCCATCACTTCTCCAATTATCCTAAATGAGGGGAAATTGCCTCACCTTAAAATGCCACTATAACGAATTCTATTGGGTTATCGAATTCTACTGAGTATCCTAAAACTATAAATACCTAAATCTGCAACTTCCCCTCAACAAATAAATAAAATATGGTGAGACCAGGAAAAGGGATCACACAGAAGAGATACACTCAAGATCCTCATTGGGAGCTGTGCACATGGAATTGTCACCTTTGGGGTTGATCTGAACCGGCTGCTCCAGAAGTGGTGCTCGGCCCAGCACCATTCTCAATCGGAGGGGAAGTGCCCCATCTTCCTTCTGATTCTAAAGGCTCAAGTACATGCACTCCACCATCTGAAAGTCCTAAGGCAAACTGATTGGGTTCGGATGGATGTGCCGCAACGACAAGAGGATGCACAAAACTGCTAAAACGTTTATTGTTAGATATGTTATTTACAACACAGAAAGACCGCAAATATCCTAGGAAAAAAAAATTATTATCTTCACTTTGCTTACAAAAAAACATACCTTGGATTTGGAGGTAAATAAGCAGTAGGTAGTATTCGGCATCTCAATCTAAGTGTAGATGCAGTGAGAACCCCCACACTTCCATCTTCAAAGCTAACATAAATTGACTGGCTATCACAGGAATATGTAGCATGTGTAATTGGACCACTAGCTTCTCGAGGAACCCACTACATGAGAAACATAGTTCCACAGATGTAAGTAGCACTAAGTAAACCAAAACAACAAAGTAAAAGCAAACAATTAAACACATTAGAACATCACAATCACCGAAACATTTATCTTAATGCTTGCTTGCGCTCTTACTAGATACAAGCTTATGCCAGTGTTGTATGCATGAAATGATCAAGGCCCATGCAATAATATCTATTTTAATGCTGGCTGTGTTAATCTGAACTAACAGGATTTTTTTTAATTTAAAAAATAAATTTGAGCAAAAAATAAACCATTGCACCTGCTTGAGGCATTCTAATTTTGGTGCTTCGTATATGGCTATCTGTGTTTCATGAACTGCCAGCAAAAGTGTCTGATCTAAGTGAAACTGAACTCGGGTATCTGCAAGAGGAGCAGCAGCTCGCCCACTTGGAATCTGAAGAAATTTACTGGCCTGCTTCTCCCATCCATCTGTGTTCCAAACACACAACTGCAGCGAAGAAAAATAAAAGCATTGATGACTTAACTACTCCAGTACCAACACCTAGTCAATCTATTGAAGCGTCTCTTGCATGAAGTTCAAGGACAGAAACAGAAAGACTATATTGGTTAAAAGCAAGAAAGTCTAAAACCAATAGCTTTTTGTAAAGGCCTGAGGGAATCAACACCTAAGTGACTAAGTAAACCACAATTCTAGAGAAATGCATTTCAGAAAAGCATTCTCCACTTACGGTTAAATGAAATGATTTCAACGTGAATCATCAAATGCAACCAGGGAATCAGTTTGCTATGAAGTTGAACTATAAACTATCTGGATACTACATTGATCCGTTTTGGCTTGGCTACTTGTGATAAGTTAGTTCTGTTAGTCACTAGTTCATTGCTTAAAGCCTTAAAGGCACAGCGACATGCACAGATATAGACTCGCACATTCATACCTGGGAATCAGCGCCCGATGATACAAGCACATTAAGAACATGAGAAAAGGCAAGGCCTGTTATTCTTTTTTGATGTCCCTTTAGCTTGGTTTTAACCTGTGAGAGGAGCATCCACATTGTAAGCAATCCCATATTCCAGATATCATCACAAACTGACAAATTTAAGTTCAGTGAACAGAGACCTCATCAACCCGAACATTGTAAATTTGGATGGAAGAATCTTCCATTCCTATGGCAATGATATTATTGTCTTGAGGATGAAACGCCAGATATGTTGCAGCTGGTGGTGGGGGCATGAATGTTGTCATTGTCTGCAATTCAAAAGGCATAACAATATCACAACAATATAAAACAATGAGTGTTTGTCTTGTCTTTTCTTTTCTTTTTTTTCTTTTTCTGCTTTTTTTTTTTTCTTTGCCCTTTTTGAGGGAGTTTTCATTGTTTACAATAAAGGAAGCATAAGAATGATTATAACATCGTAGAAATAACTTCAATTTTCATGCCACCCAAAGAAAGTTAGCTACATCCGATTGAAAGCAAAAAGAACACTGACAGTTTCACCGTGAGTGCTTCTATTTCCAAACCAAAATATGCTCATCCCAACCCCTTTTTAAACAAATAACACAAAACAGAAACAAACCGAGCAAAAATGAATTAGGTTTTAAGGGTATTTTAGAAAATATTGGTGGGTAGATTGAAAAATATGGTTCTTTTTTTTTTTCCCCTGATTTTCAATAGGTGTATGCAAAGTAGATGGTGGAGTAAGCATTTTGAAGGACGGTACAGAAGCACCACTGTCTTTTTAGATTGTCTTATGCATGGCACTTCAAAAGTTTCATAGACGATGCATATCCAGTATCTTATCTTAAATTAATCAACCCGTACACTAGATGCATCGAATGAGAGAAATTTTCAGAGGAAACAACCTACCTTAAATGTCATCATATTGAAAAGGGATATTTTCCCCCCTGAAGCAGACATAACATATGAGTCATTCTTTGAAAGTGCAAAGCATGGAACAGCATCTTCAGGGTTTGTATCGCTTATATCATTGGTCATCAATATTCCACTTGCAGGTTGCCACAATTGGGGTACAGTACTAGCTGTGGCCTACAAGAAATAAACATTTTAGTAAATGGCAAGCTTAAGGATACATAAAAAGTTACAAAAATGCAACCATCTCTGTTAGGAATTCTAATACCTTAGTCGTGTTTCGTTCGTTTCTTTGCCATTTCCAGAGCTTGTGTACAGCATTAGATGATAATGCCAATACGGCAAGTCCTGAATTTGTATAAATTAATCTAGAAACCTGAAATAATTATCAATACTCAGAGCTTGACATTAAAACATGCATGGTTCCCATGAAAATGTTTTAAAAGGAACAAACATCAAATGCATATATTACAGAGGTTCACAATGTAGCGTTTGTACTGAAATGTCTTAAAAAGGAAATCACAAATCTTTCCACAAGATTAATTTTGGTTTGAGTATAAGTCATATGCTTAAAAAAGCAACTCACTGACAATTACAGCACAACATAATCAATGTACCCTAAATAAATAGGATGACGTTTTTCCACAACATTGCTCTTTATCTACAAGGTGTAGCATGCATGATGCACAAAGAAAAGAAAACAGAACAAAGCATAAAATATAAACCTAAAAATTTATAGATAAATAATCCTGACTCCTGTATCACAATTTAACACTGGCACGAGCGGGTCAAACATCCATTTCCACAAGCAGAAAAAAAGTTCTACAGGATGTCTCACAGTGTTAGAATGCTCAAGCACGTTATATAAGTATGCATATAAAGTATAAGACCATATAAGATTTGCATGGCCCATCTTTTGAAAAAGTATTTATTTTCTTTGCAAGGTCAAACTAAGTTGTAAAAACTATGCTAACAAACAGGTTTATCTCAGATGAACAATCACTGGCTAATCATGCAACAAGAATAGAGATAAGAATGTGCTTCAAGAAAGTAAAATAAGGGGTAATTACGCACACGTGAAATATTGCAGGAAATTCGCAGAGTTCATAAAGAGCTAAGGCATGGGAAAAAGTATTTAAAAATTATAAGTTTTAACAATTTAGGGCAAAAGAGAATCAATACCCTCGTTGCTGTTAAACTATCAGGGAGCCTCAGTGACCGGCATTGTGATGGTTCATTGATTTCAGTCAGTTTCCAGATCCTGGATTTTTCTACCGACTCATCGGCAATTCTAGGTTTCACGTCAACCAAACTTCGACTATCACTGTTCTACAAAAACTCCAAAAAGAAAAGGTTAAACCATTGAATATCACAACACCCTTTTTTACTACTGGAAAAAAATAATGGATTCAAACACATCTCATATGCATAATCACATACATTTTGATCAGATCATTAAAACATAAGTTATGTTGATGATGGTAATATAAGAGAGATCATGACACTCACCAGTCCAACCATGGCTACCACTGGAGCAGCTCGCTCTCCAATGCTTGTTCCAACTATGCTGGAAGACCCAAATGTTCCTAATGGTGGGGCCTGCATATTAATGATGCATTTAGCTAATGAGTTTTAAGTTTAACAAGATATGGAAAAGTTGAAACTTTACCTTCACAGCAGCTGCAGAAGCAGCTCTTGAAGCATCAAATGTACGACTTTCCACAGTTCTTAGCAACCTAATTCCATCAGAATTTGCCAGAATTTTAATACCATTGTCATTCGTTGATGCAGCTAACAGTATTCCTTCCTTGTTAAATCTAATAGTGGGAGAAGCCTGCAGGTTTATAAGATCGTGATGATTATCTGGGAGGAACAGTTATATTGAGAAAAATAAACAAGTTGTAGTGCCTACCGGCAATCCACCATCTGCATCAGTACTTATCAAAAGGTTGACATTGTCCATGTCCCAAAATTTGACTGTGAACTCATCACCAGCCGCCAAGAACCGATTCTTAGTAGTATCAAACTGCACAACCCCAACAGTTCGCTTTGCAAGACCATGATAGGTACGCTTTACAGCTCCTTCACTTTCATTCCACTCCACCAAGTATGAATCACCTTCTTTATTTGTCCCACATGAGAACAACCTATGTTGTCCAGAGATGATACAAAGATGTCCATGATAATATCACACATAAAAGAAATAAAAAATATCAACACCACTAAAAGAAGAATGACTTTGTAAAGGGGGCAGAAAATATGCCAACCTTGTCCCATCAGCACTGTATGCCATGGTGGTAGAAGAATGGCCTGGTGCATCATAGTCAACTCTTGAGCCCACAGTATCATACAACCATGCCTTTATTTTTCCATCAGTAGCTGTCGAGAAAATAAACTGAAAAGGAAATAGTAGTAAATCAGAAATTGTTAGTACTATATATAATCGTATAATCTATTAAACATCAAATTAAAGTTACTAATACCTAAAACTGCATAGGATTTTTTTTTATGTTGAGAGCCCCCCAAATATTTGTTTTTTCTATGTACTTTATGAATTAGTTTCTTATTCCCCCATCTGGTGAAAGTAAGAGTAATATGGAGCAATTCACCAATCTGTAGAAAGTTTTTTAATTCGAACTTAACAATCCATACTTCTAAACGTCTTGAGTAGCTTTTACCATGTTGTGGACATCCCAAAGAATAAATATGGGAAAGTGGTGTCCAAAAATATAGCAGAGTTGAGTTCCATTCATTTTCAAATCTTTGAATGAAATAACCGGCTCTTATGTAATAACTGTTCCACATTCTCCATTTAATTTATGCACAGAAAAAAAAAATAGAAACTTGTTACTTGTCATTTTATTTTTATAAGAGCATCAACAATCGTGCTCTCTATTTTTTAGTTAGATATAGCTATACTCCCTATTTTTTAGTTAAATATAGCTATACTCCTTATTTTTAGTTAAATATAGCTATACTCCCTACAATCATGAACTCCAATCATACTCCCTAGTTTAGGGAGTCATAAATACTATAATTATTTTTTGATTTAATATAATTGGTCAATCTCTATAAATAATAATAATAAAAAAATAGTTAGTATTAATTAAAAGTTTAAAATATGCATAAAACAAAGCGACATTAAATTACAGGGAGCCACTAGGAACCCTTTCTCTCTCCTCAAATTTAGGAGCTCCTAGAGGTCTCCCTATTTTAGGAGGTGGATAGGGAGCAATGAGCATGGTTGGAGTTGTATTTTTCCAATTCCTCCCTAAAATTTGTCTAAGGAGGTGGTTTAGGAAGCCCATTGTGGATGCTCGAAACAATACCTCTTCTGGAAAGGGGAGGGGGTAGGGACAAAATAACCAAACAGCTTCATTTTGCATTCCAGGTTATCAACATGATAAAATGAAACAGATATTACCTGGATATTCTCCTTGTGATGTGGACACACCGAACATACAGGTGCTTCATGGCCCTCAAAAGTATAGTGCTTAGTCCCAGTGACTGCATCCCACACCTGCAGAATATTGAAAAATCATAACTGACATTGAACAATTAGTTTCTTATTCCCCCATCTGGTGAAAGTAAGAGTAATATGGAGCAATTCACCAATCTGTAGAAAGTTTTTTAATTCGAACTTAACAATCCATACTTCTAAACGTCTTGAGTAGCTTTTACCATGTTGTGGACATCCCAAAGAATAAATATGGGAAAGTGGTGTCCAAAAATATAGCAGAGTTGAGTTCCATTCATTTTCAAATCTTTGAATGAAATAACCGGCTCTTATGTAATAACTGTTCCACATTCTCCATTTAATTTATGCACAGAAAAAAAAAATAGAAACTTGTTACTTGTCATTTTATTTTTATAAGAGCATCAACAATCGTGCTCTCTATTTTTTAGTTAGATATAGCTATACTCCCTATTTTTTAGTTAAATATAGCTATACTCCTTATTTTTAGTTAAATATAGCTATACTCCTTATTTTTAGTTAAATATAGCTATACTCCTTATTTTTAGTTAAATATAGCTATACTCCTTATTTTTAGTTAAATATAGCTATACTCCTTATTTTTAGTTAAATATAGCTATACTCCTTATTTTTAGTTAAATATAGCTATACTCCCTACAATCATGAACTCCAATCATACTCCCTAGTTTAGGGAGTCATAAATACTATAATTATTTTTTGATTTAATATAATTGGTCAATCTCTATAAATAATAATAATAAAAAAATAGTTAGTATTAATTAAAAGTTTAAAATATGCATAAAACAAAGCGACATTAAATTACAGGGAGCCACTAGGAACCCTTTCTCTCTCCTCAAATTTAGGAGCTCCTAGAGGTCTCCCTATTTTAGGAGGTGGATAGGGAGCAATGAGCATGGTTGGAGTTGTATTTTTCCAATTCCTCCCTAAAATTTGTCTAAGGAGGTGGTTTAGGAAGCCCATTGTGGATGCTCGAAACAATACCTCTTCTGGAAAGGGGAGGGGGTAGGGACAAAATAACCAAACAGCTTCATTTTGCATTCCAGGTTATCAACATGATAAAATGAAACAGATATTACCTGGATATTCTCCTTGTGATGTGGACACACCGAACATACAGGTGCTTCATGGCCCTCAAAAGTATAGTGCTTAGTCCCAGTGACTGCATCCCACACCTGCAGAATATTGAAAAATCATAACTGACATTGAACTTGAACCTGCACAATCACTTTAGAATTAGTTAAGTCATAGATCAAACCTTAATGACCCTATCATCCCCACACGTGACAACGCACAGCTGTTTGTTGGGGTATGAGAAAGCAAGATCATTTACACTTCCAACATGAGCCTCGATCTGAAAACAAGAGGACAACCACAGCAATACTTAAGTCAATTTACCCCCATACAGAAACATGAGACATCTAGCGAGAATAGGAACATGTGTAGGAGATTAAAAAAAAAGCAAAATAAAATAACAAGATAACTATCTTCGAAGGGATGGGTTAATGGAACAAACCTCTAGGTGATTTCGTATATCATCACCACCCTGATAGGAGTATATGTGCACGATGTGCTTAGAGTATGCAACACCTGCAGTAGAAACCTGATTGATCATAACCAGCTTAAGATTCATTTCCTATTTCTTGATAATACTTTCTTGTGATGAACTAGCAGGTGTCTAATTCACAATATGAGAATAAAATTAAATAGACACTAAACAAACAAGGACACCTATGCTTACCAAAAAGTGTCCCATCAGGGCTCCACATCACGCGGTTGATTGATGCTGTATAGTCACTGGCCAAAGATGCCTATTGGACAATGAAAAGGGGAATGTTCTTTCATAATAATGACAAATAATGACTCTTCTGAAATGCATTCATATTATACTCAATTTCAAATTATTAGAGAATCAAAAGCCAAACCTGCAGTGGCACTGAACATTCTCCAAGATCCCAGACTTTGAAGTTCTTAATAGCAATCTTTTCATGGCTTGGTAGCTCATATATCATGACATCACCCATGTTTGTTCCGACTGAAATGATAATATAGCTTATTACTTGAAGGGGAACATAACAGCTATAATCCAACAGTTAAAAAATGAAATAAAAAGTGAGATAAAAAACAATAATTTAAATTGTGTGGAATTGGAGAACAGCTCTCTCCACAAGTAGGAGCTTACCAAGAAGTATAATTTGTTGCACTGGGTGGAAATCCATACTCTTGACAGCTGAACCTGGACTTAAAGTCATAACAACAGACCTGGGCAAGTCATCAGAAGAGTAGGAACTCTGACCATGGCTCTGGTTAGGAAACGCAACAGGCAGCATATTTACTGGCAGATTATTGGCCTGTTAGAAATTAAGTTAATAGAGAACAATTACATAAACTAAGAAGTCGAAACTTGAAATCTTTCTTTAAAATAAAGCCATGATACGGATTTTTGGCAACAAGTCAAACAATTCACGTCACAAGTCATGTAATGCAGGACCAATTCCATCAGATTAACAACCATATACTTTACTATTAATTATGATAGGCTGCAAAACACAATAGTACTGACTCGAGATGTTATTAATGCTTAAATTGCATTCTATTTAAATCCAAAAATTCGTCCAGCTAACCAAAATTTCTAAATTCCAACAAAAACAGAATGTTCCCTGTTAAAAAAGGAACTGATAAGACACAATTGCTTAATCAATGCCTCACCAAAAATACGAAGCACCCTTCCTTATCAAGCTGTGCTCTCGTATTTTGCATAAACATAAACTTAACATTTTGTTACCTACCTTTTAAGAAACAATTTGTTAAAGAAAAAAAAACTATTTTGCAATAACTGGTTTTTTTTGGTTGGGTCGAACTGAAACAATTTTAATATCACATGGTCAAATGAATGTACATCAAAAGAGCGGAAAACTTATAATTTAGTAATATAACTCAGACTTCCAGCAGGTAAATCAGAATATGCGAAAATTAACGAATAGATTTATACTTCATCAGTTATTCCGAAAGGTCTTGATCTCTTCAGCACGTGTTCAGAATCTGCTGTTTGATAGTCCATAGTTGGGTTATTGGTAGGAGGAGTTCTAGGCCGCTTTAACATGGCTGCTATCAAGACAAGTAAATACATAAAGAGTAATAAGAAAATAACAAGCAGAAAGCATGTGTTAAACGGAAAAAGAATAAAGCGAGCATGTCATAAAGCATTTCAGAAAAAATAACAATACAAGCTAAACCTAATAAATTGTCCATAAACTTCCATGCTCTTACAATTTGTTGACCAAAGTGCGTCACCTTTTCATCATAAATATTTTCATAGGAGGTACAAAGGAACACCACACACAATCTAAGGATGAAAAGGACAAAATAAACTATGGACAAAAGATGAAAAAGGAACGCGCAAGTTAAATGTGTAACGCATTCTCTTGACATATACAGTGTATCTTGTACAATTTAGGACAACCACAGTAATGGACAAGGCTTCTCATCAAAGTTTTCACATAATGCATTTTGACAATTTGAAACCCATTAAAAGGTAACACCATAATACCTGCATTGTTAGCTGCGGCCAAACCAATAGGCCCAGCAGAAGCCGAGGGATGAGGCACAGGTGATGGATTTGCCATCCATCCCGCAAGAGATGTTGGAAGAGCAGCTGGTGCGGGCTGAAAGGGCTACATACATACACACACACAGTCAAACTTCAACTTATAGACAGTTTGACTTCCAACAAAACTATATTTTTTCTGTTCTACTTACCCCGTGAGCACCCAATGGTGGGAAACCCCCTGTCTTAGGGACCGCCCCCATTAAGTGATTAGTGACAGGGGATGGAGCCCTGGCACCATTTGGTTGTCCACAACTGTGGTCTACGAATAGGGTCTTTATGTCAGGGTTAGGCCTTGGATTCTTACAAAGCTGATGCTGCCAGTTTAAACTGCAGTTGTAATGACAAAAATTAGGAAACTATATATCTTACAATTAAAGTAAGGAAAAATATAGAGTGTCAGACACACGAGGCAGGAGCTTCTCAAGGACCTCTGATTAATAAGAGTGCGCAATCTCGAGTTCTTCAGGGTAGGAAATTGAAGTTTATCACGAAACAACGGGTTCGCCTCTATTAACTTTTTCAGTTCAGCAAGCATTATGCTCCTTGCAGACTTTGTATCACCATATTTAGATAACTGTTCATTATCCCTGAAAAGTAATGCATACCAAAAAAACAAGTAACGTCATAAATATAACAGAAATGCGAGCCAGCCAATTATAACAACAATAGTACAAGAAAATCTGTTCTCACCTGAAGTTATCCAAAGTCAACAGCTGTGTAATTTCCTTAAAAAGTTCCTCATTAAATGCTGCAAACACTTTCAAGTCCTTAACTAAAATGTCCACAGCTTTTGCTCGATCCCGCCTACATTAACCATTTATTAACTTGTTAAACAAACGGGGCAAATAAATTTCAACGGAGTAAGCTCATCAACAATGATTAAACATAATACCATATATTAAATTTTAAAAAAAGGTTAAGAAAACCTACTTGTCTAAAGCTTCAAGGTACTTCTGCTTGCGAATTTCAAAGAAGATCTTCATAGAGTATCTATTATCATCAACCTTTGTGAAACCGGACAAATACTTCTCCACCTCCTCCCACTCCCCATTTGTCACCATGTCGTCGAAATACCTCATGTTAAAGAAAAACCCCGACTCTTGCTCCAACCTCCACACAGACAATCACAACATAATTAAATAAAAATTGAAACAAATTAAACTGAATTACAACAACCTACAAAATTAAAACATAATTGAGCATACTTGTGAACACTGTCTTTAAATTTTTCTTCATCCAGAAACTGAAGTATGAGAAACACGAGCTCTCTGCTAAGCGAGGACATCTCCGCCCCTGACTCCCTGCCAAGCCTAATTAAGTCAAAGATCTAAACCCTCTTGCCTCAATTTCGACAATACTGCGACACAAAAATTCCTATATTGCGTCCAAAAATTAAACAATATACATATATATATATATATATATAGTTTCAGTTTGAAAAATTAAATAACAAAAACTATTTATTTTTAAAAAAAATCAAGATGGAACAAAATCAGATAGAAAAATGAGAAGGAAAAGCAGGTACCTTAATGATATCGATGGCTCAGATCGGAAGGTTTGAAAGCTTTCTCGCTCTAATTTCTCTCTCTAGCTTTCTTTATTTTGGAGTTGGGGAGCTCAAGTATTTATACGGAGAAGAAGAAGAGGATTAGGGATTTAGAGGAGAGAGAGAGGTAGATGGTAGCAGACAAATTAAATAGCGTGAGCGAGAACGATATGAGATGTATTGGAATGATAAGCGGGTTGATAAGCGCTAATGCTTATAAATCAACGAATATCCTTTATAGGTGATAAGTACTTGTGCTTATAGGGTACGTGTATCGCTAGATTTGGAGTTATTTTCGGCTGGATTTGCGCGGCCTTTAGTTGTTGTAAATTTCTAAATTATTATCAAATCACAATTTTATTAATACTACCGTTAAATTGGCTTCGCTAATCTGTATGTTGGTATTCGTATACCTCAAAATGTTGTTACAGTTGTAATGCCCATCCCTTGATAATATACTTTCTTGATGCTTCTCATGTAGTGAGCATATAGCAAGAAAATATATACACATATTCATAATCATAACTTCTCTCACTATATTACGATGTTTCTTAAATTTTGACATCGATTCGAAATCAATTGATTAAAAAAGTGGCTCGTATTTATTTGCTCATAAAAAATATATAATATATAATTTGGGTGCTAATTTTTTCACTTTCATTTTGTCTACTTACACTCCCTTTTATTTTTTAATATTTTTTTATTATAACAATAAAAGGAGTGTAAGTGGACAAAAAAAAAGTGATAAAATCACCTCTCATTAATAAACTTTTACTTTTCGAAAGTATACTTGCTTTATGCTTCTCATGTAGTGAGCATATAGCTTTAAAAAAAATTATATATGTCTGCTCATGAAAGTTATATACATATATAGGCTTTTTAGTTGTCATAGTCCCTGAATTTAGACTCGATTTGCATTTTGGTTTCCGAATTTGCAAAATAATTGGTGTAGCTCCTAAACTCAACTTTCATTAGCAATGTTGGCCTTCCGTCAGATTTGTTAAATTTTCTATAAATTTAGGAGTAAAATTATCACTTAAAATTCAGTTCCCATCACTCACACCAGACACCATTCCCACCACCACTTTGTACCCAAATCCATCATTTCCACCACCATAAAAACAAATAACAAAAGTCAGTTGCCTTCTTTTGATTTTTTATTTACACTTGTCAAAGATCCAAATTCAGCCAAATTACACCACGAGATCTTCCCTACCTAGCCCCACAAGATATTTCCCCTCGACCAATTCCCCACCAAATATGTCCCCCAACTCAATCTTGACCAGATTAATTGAAAAATAAATAGAAAGAATGAGGAGGGACATAAAAATACAGTTGTGCCTATTAGAAAGAACGTACAAATATAATTCAATATACTTTTATTTTTTCAAAGTTTGGTATTAAATAGTTTACGCTTTACTTACGAGAATAATGAAGAATATAAATGTGTTATGAGTTACGCATTTTGGAAGATGATAAATTGTCATTAATTTAAGAGTTATATTCAAACCTTTTGCTTATTTAAGATGTGTCAATTGTTACATTTCTTAAATCCGTGTCAATTATTACATATTTTAAATCCGTGTGTACTAATTTCATGGCAAAATAAACAATAATAAGAAATCAAAGTGCTTAACAAACATTACGTTATCAGGTTAATTAACATGTCCAACCAAACAACTAAATCATGATTTTTTTTTATATACCAAAAAACATTTTAGTCACGAACTTTGGCTTAGTTAAGTTGGCTATAGCAAATTTGCACCCGAGTTTGAATCCCTTCTCTATAATTTAGATTAATTAAATTAAAATATTACACCATTTGTATAAATAAAAAAAATAAAAATAAAAACATTTTAGTCAAGCTCATCAAAGTTGCATGAGGACTCATACTGCTTTAAATAGCCGGTGCAAGACAATTATGTGTAGCGTGCAATATTTCTTTAAATAAAAAATAAATAAAAAAAGAATATGTTATATGTCTTTTGTGTTTTTTGGGCAACGCAGGTGCATGCATGCGTGGATAGTAAAGTCTTGCCAAAATGTTAAGAAACTAATAATAATATTTGAAGGGATAAAATAATTTTGGTGAGTTAAAAGATACATAGGAGCAAGCAAGTGCAGGGGATCCTCCATAAAAATGCATTTATTACAGGAAATGACATACCTCTCCTCTTGAAATATGAGCAACCACAATCAAACCAAGTTTTGCCTTTACCTCTAATTTTGGGTGAAAGTTGTTAGGGTGGTTGGTCACTATTTGCCATTTGCTGCATATGGTCTGTCATCATTTACCGTCTTCTTTTTAAGGAAGGAAAGAATAAAAACTACCACACAGAAAGAAAGAAAAAAGTACATACACACAAAAGGAAGTGTATTTAATGGATTCCAAAGATTCGTATTTTCTGCTATTTATATTTTAATTATGTTATTTTCTCAAATTAGTGACTATAATTATATATTAATGAGTGAATGAATATGTTCAAAATCTAGGAAGATATTTCTCTGTGGGTGGATTATGTCCTTGTAAAAGAGATTAATATGGAAATATCTAATATACCCATTTTTGCAAATAATGTACATTGCTCCATTTTAATCAAATTGAGGTAAGACTTCGAGTATATGTCACTTTTTTACTTATACAATCGATAGTCTAAATTACAGTAAAATAATCTAATGCACATTAAGGGCATTCCAATTTAGGCTCAAGTAAGCTACGTCTGCCCCCGTCAAAACACAAACGTATGCACCCATGTTTTTAATTTAAAAAGGAAAAGTACGCACATGAATGCGTGCTGGACTGAAATACTGGTTAAAGAATAATCTAAATAGAATAAAGTGATGAATAAGAAAAGTCCTAAATAATCAATTTATCGTTTCACTTTGATCGAGAAGATAATATATATCGTAGCACGATATATATGTTTATTATCAAGTCATTTTCACGTGGGATAACAACCACACGTCAATTCGTTCTGACGGAAGACATTTTAAACGGTTCTAATCAGATCCCTTTGTATTTATCTAGAGAAAAGGAGGGTTCATATCACATGCGTAACCCTCCACGGTATATAAAGTGGGACGCTTTGGAACAACCAGTAAGAGCATTATTAAATGATTTACTTTTTCATTTTTATAATACTTTTGACTTTATTCTATTACCACTCTTATTATTACTATTTACTTTAAACTAATCTAAAATACGGGAGGTGGACTGTCAAACTATATAAATGCAATAATTTGAAAATTAGCTATTAATAGCACAATGAACAAATTATAAATTAAGTACTAAAATTGTTAAATTCCAACATAATGAACAAATTAACTATTGTGTGATATCACATAACTATAAATTCGAGAATGATTATGAAGTTTATGGTGTATGTGCATTAAATTTTTTTTTTTGATGTTAAATAGGAATTGGATTGGATGTCTAGGGATTTTGAACCCTATATTTAGATCCATAAAATACCACTCATGCTATATACGTTAATTAATAGTCCTTGTGAGTATTCCTACAGAAGACTGAGTCGCAGCATTTGTCCTGACAAATGTCACTTTCGACGGAATTTTCTTGGATGCTTCGGTCCATTGGAGGTACAGGCTACAAGCACTCGTATATTGTATTGTTTTCTTCCAGCAATAGACAATGAAGAGGTTGCTTTTGTGCTTTTACACGTTTTGTTTGCTGCATTTGGTTGATAAAGAGTGGGTGGGAATTGGGTAACTCCTTCAAATCATGTCAAACCAAGAAAAACAAAGTGCTTTGCTGTATTTGTTATTTATTTTGTCTCCGCAGTTAGACCAGTTTGGTTCGCAGAACGGATTTAAGGGGAAATTACTTCCCATGTCATTTCCTAAAAGATGGGAATTCACGTTTGGTAATGCCCGAAAAGAAACCGGGAGATATCACTTTATTTTATTTCCCATGTTTGTTTTGAGTAAGAATGGAAAGCAAAATTTGTATAATTTTTTTAATAATACCCATATTAATTCAAAAAAAAAATGCATATAATGATATATAATAATTCTAAATTGTTAATGGGAACAAAATGCTAATGAAAAATGTGCATTTAATGTTGGCTCATTTTTCCAAACTTTCCTATGAGGAGATAAAACAAAACCCAAGTTGAGAGGAGGGCTTCGCTTTCTCCATACTTCCCCATGTTTCAAGCAAACCATTTCCCGCACCTGGGCTTAACAAACATGGCAAGACAATTGATTTTCCATCCCCAAACTTTATTTTCCATTAACCAAATGCGCCTTAGTATTAAATCAAATTTTTTATTTTATTTTATTAAATTAATGCTATTAAATAATTTATTTATTTGGATGGCATTGTTTTTGTTTTTTCTTATTTTTATTTCTCTTCAAATTCTCACATTTGGAAAGGTGATTGTTTGTTTGGATGTTAATTTCTGAAAGCATGATATAATCGTTTTAGTTAAAAAGACAAGTTCAAAACGCTGAATACCATGACGTCTCTAAACTCGTCTGGAGTTGTGGCATCATGAAAAGTAGAAGTGCACAAATGTGAGCCCTCCCAATTTCCAAATACCAATCCAATTGCATTAAAAATTGATGCCAAGTAGATTATCTAGGGTTGCACAAAAGTCGAAACTAATTTAGCCACCTTGATGATAATAAATAATATTAATTAAAAAGATGGTGGTCCAAAAACGCACTTCAGCGCTTGAGTTTTGGGAAGACCTATTTAACCTCGAAGACAAAAACCAAATACAAAATTTTGAGGAATGATTTCTAAATAAATTGCAGTCCTGCCTAGTTGGCGAAGACAATGTACTCACTCCTTTAACTCGAGTTCACTCACTCCTTTAACTTGGACAATGTACTCACTCGTTTGATCATCTTTTTGTACATTATGGTAGTTTAGAATATTGCATTTTCAAAATGCAAAAAACTCATTATGGTAGTTTAGAATATTGCATTTTCAAAATGCAAAAAACTCATTACAATATGGGTGGGTGAGAGTTTTCTTTTTTTCTTTTGTTTTTTACACAACTTTTGCTAAATAGGGGTTCCTTTACTGTTTTTTTAGTAGAATTTAAGGCGAGAGCCTGCCTTCATTAACTTTAGTGGTCATAGCGAATATGAACCGTTATGTATAAAATCCAGTAAATGAATCGGAAACCGTAAAATGGTGAATACAAAATTCCTCGTAGAAGACGAGTTCATATTTCATTTCACCTTTCATAGGAAAAAGCTGTCTCAAGAATCTCACTTTCAGACGTCTGAAGTAATAATAAAGCCAACATGTAAGGGATGGACAAAAAGGAAACATTCGATTTCCCATCAATTCAGTAGTTCAGTGTGGATTTGATTCCTTCGTTTGGAAAGTGAAAACATTCTCAATTTTTCTAAGTCATAAGTTATGATCTTTCTCAGAAAAAAAAGAACAAACTATGTAATCTTTCTCAGCATCTTTGTTTTGTTTTGGATCACCATAAATCTTTCTCAGCTTGCATATGCCACCGCTATTGTAATACTAGCTAGCTAGTTTCCTGTGCACATCAAAAGCTAAAATCAGAAAAATTGCTTTCCTTACCTACAAAACCTTCAATCCTGTGGCCTTAAACAGCCTCCGGGGAGAAGGAACCTAAACTTGTCTACATTCTTTATCAAGTAAGCAGGGAGATGAACTGCAGAAGTAGAACGAGGTATTGGTCCCATCTTCTTAATCAACTCCTTGAATGAGTACTCTTCAGGTAACATATCAAAAAGATCATCTCCTCGACAAATGAGCTTTTGAATTCTTGCATAATTCAGAAACTCTCTCCGCTTCACACGGTCCGCATGGCTATAAGCAGTCATCTTAAACACAAAGTCTTCAATATGCCGAAAGCAAAAACTACAATGCCATCCTGCATCAGAAAATAAATAATTTGTTTGTCGAGAGTGCTGATAAAAGGTACGCGGTCCATAGATGTGGGATGTAGCCCGCCAGCTACTATAGTCCACAGGGAACTCAAATGAATACATGTAGTGCTTCAGCTCAAGATGCATTGTAGATGGAATCCCATCACACCATTGCAGTAATTTCACAGTATGCGGGCTTGGGATCTCATCAGTATCTGACATTATCAGTACATCACCATAGGAAATCCCCGCATGCCGAAGTAAAGCATTCATAGCTATACGTTGCTTTTTCTCAAGTTCAAAGGGGTCCGTACTCGATCCATGGGGTACAACTATGCCAGGAAAGATATCGTGGACGACTTTTTCCTCAGCAAAGGCAAATCTGCTCTGATTTGAAGCAAAGAAAAGAGGCTTCGGGATGCCAGTGAAAGTGGTATTTGCCTCAAGTATTACCAATTTTGTGACATATGGATAAAGCTCATGCCACCTAATATCAAGCATGTCTAACTCATTGCTAAAGATGATGCCATCGAAAACATGGCGGGGTTCAGCACGTAGGGACCAGCCATGAAGGCGGCAAAGATGGTCCATGGTTACATTTTCAGCATAGTAGTGTGGCAGGCGTATGAAAGGGGCTGGGGGCTTGTCCCAAAGTGGCCGAAAGAAGTACGAAATTTTCGGGTAATTTGTGCAGATTCCAAATATACATGTAGGCACGGCTATCAACAGAATGAGACAAAAGAACTTAGGTGGTGTTCGTCTGAGAGTAGGGCGGAGAGATCGTATTGCCATACCTTGAAATATAATTATCAAGATGGGCGGTACTTAACATGTTTGTCCCAATTCAACTACCAACATAAACATTGCTCTAACAACCTTGGTCACCTGCATAAAATTAATATGTAGATTAGCTACTACAATAAAAGCCTTCATGATATATAAGGCGATAACTCACTTTGCATAAAAGTTCAATGAATACTACAACCCATATTTTGATGAATGCCAGAACGGGAAGGAGCATATCCTCAATCAAACTTCAATTTAATCATATACTCACTCAAACACAAGTAAACGAGCATTTCTGTTTTTCCAGATATGGACAAATTTCTACAAATTTCTATTCCAAAGATTAATTCTAGGATAAAGAAATGTGCACTTATAGTCTGATCTTATGTACACAAAAGAATTGTGTCTTTGACTTCTTGAATTGGACCTTTTATGATTATTTATTTCATGCAAGGCAAGCTGCCAAATCATTATCTGATGCATTATTAAATAGTTGCTTGCCACCCTAGCACCACCAATAATACTTTAAAGTCAAATGTACAAAGTTGCATAGAAAACAACATATCAAAGTTATATATAACAAAGAGAGCGATGAAGTTAAATATTATAGCATTTAACATTGACTTCTTCCTCCAATATACGAGATATAATACAAAAGAAAAGCAAGAGAAGAGGACCAAAAGGAATTGCACGACAAAACCAGGCCGGTCAAGCCTAGATGAGGATCCAAAGTTCCCAACAAAATAGTTGCCGAAGAATTCTTCTTTTGGTCTTATTCCTCCAGTAACTATGCAGAATCTAAACAGATTTTGTAGAAAGTAAAGAAGGCATCGAGAAGGCGGCAGACGCATAGAACCATTACATAATCAATTAGAACTTGTCGCACAAACTTACTAGACGGCGTTGATGTTTAAGACAACACACCAGCTTTCGAAGGAGCCAAAAATTGAGATTTGAGAAGGGTTTTGGAATTTATTTTCGAGCTGTTTTTATCAAAAGATGGGGGTATAGAAGAAAGAGAAATGCCAGCCTCATGTCATGGGGGTAATTTTATTCGGCCCATTTTACAGACTTGATTCCAATCAATGCCTTGATCATCTTTCCTTTCTGTGGGAATTATAACCGCAGATTTTGAAAGATATTACAAGGTAATTAAAACCAATTAAGGCTAAGTGGAATGCTTATGCAAGCAACATACTTCGTAGGACCAAAAAAAGAAAAAAGTTTACACCCTGCAGTATTGCTCTCAGGTTTTGGATGTGAAGCCTAATATGGTTACTGAAACACTAAGTTTGGTGGTTGCCTCTTTAACCATTATTCATGACAGTTAGCACAATATAGCACCAAAAACAAATTGAATGAAACCCACTCACTCAAAAACAAATTGAACGAAACAAACTGTGACTAATTTCAAATTCTATACTGTACATACTATGACTTATGAGAAGAACATTGAATATGTGAAATTTTAGGCAACCCTTTTCTCTTGCTAAAGAGTCAAACGAAAACCAACAACATTCAAACAAGGACCCACCTTCACGAGGAAAGTAATCAATCAACAAAGAACCCACCTTGCTATGAAGAAGATAATTAATAGTTTTTTAAAAAAACACAGAAAAATGATAAATACGACACTTACAAAATAAAAGCTTGACCTTGTTGAAGTTGCAGAGGCTGAGAAGAATGTTACTTGGCCGCGCACACATTGCCGCCAAGAGAGAAAGAGAAGCGGAGAATCTCGGAGGCAGAGAGAGAGAGATATTGTAGAGATTGAGAGAGATTTAGGGGACGAGAGAGAGGAAGAGAAGCTCGGAGGCAATATCGGACCACGGCTGGTCACGTGCGACGAAGTGGTGAAGACCCGAAGCCGGAGGAAGTGGAACTGTGGAACCTCGGAGCCTTAGGAAAACATGCGAACAGCGCTCGCCTACAGCTGCAACATCGTACAGTTTGCAATTACAACTCGCGATGGGCAGACACGTGTTAGGGAGCCGGGTGGCACATATTTATTGGGTTGTTCAGAGCAGAATATGTTTGAGTGTAGGTGAATCGGTGATGAGATAAGGTCGGCACTCCTGATAGTGGCAGGTTATGAGTTATGACTCTGGAGACATCGACCGACGTGGCTATTTTCGTATATCCCATTGGTATCCACGCCACGCTGGATCTGGATGAATGGACTTGCATTCCAAATCACCTATTTACCCTTATTTAAAACGACCCCGTCCCTTCTTTGCTATAAACGAAAGGTCGTTTTACAAATTGCAAAGGAGGGTGAGTATTAAGTTAGGATTATGATATGTTTATATTAAGAGTTATTTAGTTATGTTTAATTAAGTTTTAATTAAATAAAGTTACCCAGAGTCCAAATCAAATAGGATTCCTAGTTTATAGGAGTTGTAGTTGAGGTTGTTCACCACAGTTAGAAGTGTTTTATCAACATGCTACAATGGTCATAATGACCATCGAAGCAAGGGATTGTTGGTTGCACAAAACCATTGCCTTCAGACACCATTTAATCTTATTGCTGCAAGAGTAAGGCTGTTGCTTTGTGTTTTGATTAGGCCCTAGTAAAGGGGCTCTGATACCAAATGTTGGAACTCAAAAGAGAAACTGAAAATTTGAAGTTATTAAACTTGAAAACCGGAAATACTCATTACTGAATGAAAACAAGATTACAACTTAAATAGAATTAATCTAAAACAACTAAATCAACTTATGTAGATTTTGTGAAACTAAACCAAAACAACAGAATACTTCTAACTGTAGTGAACAACCGCAACCATAACTCCTACAAACTAGAAATCCTACTTGGCTTGGACTCTGAGCAATTTTATTTAATTAAAATTTAATTAAACATAACTAAATAACTCTTAACATTTTAGAGTTTAGTGTTCGGTTTTTTAAATTAAGAAAAGTCAATTATATTAAAAACAAAAAGAACAATTTGAATTGAAAGACAACTTTGCATTTTGGGGGTTGTGAAGCCCCGTTTGATTAGTATTGTGTAGTTGTTGGTCTATTGGGGTTTATCCCCCTTGCTTCATTTGAAAATAGAAAAGATCTAACTTTGCTTTCGGTTTCATATTTATGTTAGGACTTCAATATATAAAAATATGTAGGAGACTTGTAACTTAAGTAGTTAATAATATTTACTTCATTACTTGAGGTATTTAGTTCGATTCTCTTTTTCTCACTCACTTATATAAGACGATGCTAATTCATATTAAAAAGAACGCCAAAAAAATTTGAATATTTATTTATGAAATGCATGTGAAGGCATTGTTGCAAACACACACAACATCACAAGGTGGGTCGAATGCAGCAAATGCTTGACATTAGAACATTAGCCCAGTTTAGGAGTAGCCGTTAGCCCATCAGATCAGGCACTGCTTGACATAGTCGGAGCCCAACCAAGTCCAAAACTAGATTTTATTTTATTTTTTCACAAATTAGATTTGAAGTGCTCTAATTCTTGGGTCTTGGCGGAAGGAGAAAAAGAAGAGTGCTACCCCTACCTACTGGCTACTAGTATATAATAAAACATGTTTCTTCTACTGCGGGGAAAATTACGGTGATCCATAAGTTATACAAGTGATTAGGATGTGGGTTCTACACAATATCTCTATATTTTACACAGCAGTCTTGGTCATTCAAAAAATCATGTGAAAGAAGCCCGTTGGGGTCTACGGAGCAGAACAGTCAAATTTTGATGACCCATGCATGCATTAATCACTCCTCTTAACCAATTTGAGACGTTGCACCGATCTGATGAAAGTTCTGCAGAACCAAAATTCAAAAATGAGAGAGAAGGAAGAACACAAGATATACAGAGACCCATGAGACCTAATCTGATCAATAATATTGTTTAATTACTTTCTTAACCATCATTGTCTTGAACATTATTAGGCAACGTGTCCAAAAATGATGGATTTATTAATTATATACCTCCAAGGAACATCTTGAGCAAGAAGCCAGTCTCCCTCTCTGTCTTGGTAAGTGAGTTTATAATTGTTTGAATCCATCTGACCTGTTCCAGATCAATCCAGACACAATTGTTCAAACCCAAAATGAAACAAAGGAGTACATAGATATCAAACGTTTGTCACTCGCACGTTCTTTAAAACTTACATTTGTCAAACATGTCCATCAAGGTGTTCTTGCTATTCCCACTCCTTCCATCTTCACCTTAACGAATGTAGAGTGGTGGTGGTTTGATGATCCTCTGCCACCACCAGAGCCATTCCACACCGCCCGATGACCATGACCATGGTTGTGGTTGTGGAAGCAAGCCTCCTTTCTCCATGACTTAATTGGAGGCCACCCTACCAAACCATCTCCATCATTTCTATGGCCAAACCAAATAACATTTTATCAGATCAATTTAGTTTACTTATTAATTCATGGGTAAATACTTATGATGAAGAAACTGATTAGTTAAGAAGAAAAATCAAAACAAAATAGGGTGAATTAAATAAGTGGGCTAGGATAGTGAGCTCATCTCTTCGCATTCAAGTTTTCAATCTATGTTCTCATAGATTAGTATAGTTTAAACTATCGTTTGTATAAAAATCAAAATTTTGGTGTAAAAGAGAGAAAAGTACTTGATGACAATGGTAAAGCGGGAGTTGTTGTCTTGGTGCTTATCAGGGTCGTCGTCGTTATCGTGGTGGTTTGGTTGGTTGTTGTTCCAGAGGAACAAAGGCAGCGTTCGAGGCACGGCTGCAGTGGAACGACTAGTGTTATTGTTGTGGTCATCAAAAGCTTGGTCAAAGCTGCGTTTATTGCTGTCATAATGAATAGGTTTGGAAACAGCTGCTACTTCCTTAGCTTCGTAACCAAAGTTATACAAGTCGAAGCCTTTGATTGGATTTCTTGGAAGAGCGAGACCCAGTTGAAGCTCCATCTAAAACGAAATCCAACAAGAACAAACAAAAGATTACCCAATAAAATATACAAGATGATGATGACTTTGTGTGAATGAGAAAGAGAAAGAGAAACAGAAAGAGAGAGAGACAGAGAGTTTGGGATTTAAGGGATCTGGGTTTCTTGCTGTAATATTTATATATGTATATGTATGTCACATGAGAGCAGGAGAAGGTTTTATTTTAATTTAAATAAATAATCGAGGTAAGGGAGAGTGAAATAGATGGGGGGACATGGGACGGGACAAGGGGGTGGTGAAGAAGAGGCCGGAATGGGCGGGCATGGGACAACAGTGCTGGGGACATTGGCTAAGGCTGTCCGTGTCAATGCTCCACTTTTAGCCGACCCACTTGCCCCTGCTGTTCCTGCAACTCACCCCTCATTGCTTTCTGAACCCCCAACACTTTATCTATACCATTTACTATTTAGGGAGCTAAGCTCCTCACGCGTATCAAGACCACCGCATCAAATTTATGACAAGTTATTTGTTGAAAATTACACTCTTCTTTTATTTACTTTCATGTTTTTTGTATTTATAATAAAAATATTAGAAAATAAAAAAAAGTGTAAATAGATAAAAATAAGGTGAAAAAATTATCACCCTTATGTTATAATATAAAAATGCACATAATATAACTCGTTCACAACTCGATAATCGAATTAAAATTTTCAACTTTTATGATATATTATAACACATTGACAAGTTATACCGTATAATTATATTATAGTCAATAAAACAGACGTTGCACTATAGTCAACCTATGGGGCCAGGTGGGTCCAGTCCACTCAACACAGACAAGAACTCATGCAAAACTGAAGTTGATCACATTGCCACATTAAGTGTGTGTTAAGTATGCGTCAGTTTTTGCCGCATACTCAATTTGAGTCGTATAACATACACTGACTTCTCTGATACAGGATGAGTTTAGGGCCACAAGACAAGATAATGTAAATTAAAATTAAACAATCAAATTGATTGGACAGTTTCTCTTTGGTTAAAAATTTGCATACGTTTCCTTTCGTGATATTATAGTGAGTGATAGCGATCGAGTGACATGGTTGGGAGAGAATCCTTGAGATGCAAAACAAACAACAACCAACAACCAAGGAGATGAACAATTAATATACAATACAATAAAATATATAACAAATGTTGGTACAAAAATGGACGAGACATATGTTCCCTATGTGCTTTGTTTTGGTAATGTTTAGGCTTTATGGGTGTTTTTTTTTTAATGTTTTTTTTTTTTTTTGGTATATGTATGGTTGTTTTTTAAGCTTACATTATGTGGCACACAAAGCTCCAACAAACCAACATAGAAAAATTGCCTCCTTTGAGTCAAGTCACACTCTCACCCTCGGTCCCGGCTTGAACAGCATTATTGAAAGAAAAAGCAAAGTCCTCGGGGGGTTTCACGTGATTGCCGGCAATCCCACGAGACCCTGGACCAAGCCACCCGCACGAGGCAACCAGGCAAGGATTTGAAACATGGCGGTGTGGTGTGAGGGTGCCACCCCACATTCCAACAAAGCACTAGTTCATTTTCAATTTAGCTGCCTGCTCGCAGATTTATTAATTAGTCCCATGCATCATGCATGCATCCAGATTATATTTGTCCAGCCCAACCCTAGATACATAATACCCATGTGTCCAATGGTCCAATTCACTAGGTTAAGACCGTGACTGATTGAATCTAGTCAATTGCAGTGAGGTTATAACGAGGAACTATACATATTGAGGGCTTATAATGAGAAAGTTCTTAATAACTGTCGGATTAATGAACTCATCAACATTGACGGCTGAATTGAACCCCAAACTGTAAAAGCTCGCAGTCAATTGGACTAAATCTCATCCAACTGGTTTTAATGTTTCAACGGTGAAGAGTGGAACAGAAATGTCTTCCACTAAAGCTGTAAAAGATAAAGTGGCGGGCATGGTGGTGATATTTTTATTTTCTTTCGGTGGAGAGGTCCCCTAGCTAGGAGGGGCTAAGCTAGTGAAGGAGAACATTTCAGACTTTGCCCCTCAAAGAGGTCCCCTCTCTCTACTGGAATAAATCTCAAATCCTGTCCTCCTTGGACATATTTCACGCGTGTGAGGTGGACGTTGATGTTCTTGCATTATCTCACAAATTTGAATGTTTAGATTAAAGAAATGCATATGTTTACGCAGTAATATTAATATTCATGCTTCAATTTTGTTTAAATTAACATCTAATTAGCAAAAATAAAAACAAAGTATAGAAAGAATTTGGAAAGCATATATATATATATAGAAGAAACTAGATAGAGAGAGTGAGTGTGGGGACAAAGGGACAAAGTATATATTTTGCTGTATTCGGATTTTGCTTGTCTTATGATGACTTTGAATTGTGGTGTTGCCATTGCGGGACCAAAGTTTCCCATCAAAGATAAGCAAGCGTGTGATAGAGAGTGTGAGATTTTGATTCTCTCTCACCCTATTGGCCATAAATCCTCCCTCCCAATATATCTCATTCTTTATAGATTTTGATTGCAACACACGTATGAAGTTGGGTGATGAAACGGAACAGACTTGTTGGATTCACACGCAGGACTTGAATTACGAACCGATTGCTGATGAAATTATTTAGTCAAAATCAAAATAGGATGAAAATGATGAGTTGCTTTTGCTTATAAAAAATAAACAAATCGCAACTTTTTAGGAGCAAATCCAAATGAACTCAAGGGCATATATATATATATATATATATATATTCCTGGAGATGATGGTTGGTTGGACTTGCACTTTTAACTGTTTAATCACGTTTCATTCATGTCGAATTAAAACTGCGAAATGATGGCAAAAGCCGAAAGGAAATGGACATGATTGATTTGTTTGTCGTCAAGAAAAAGAGCAGACGTCGGTGGTAGTAAATAGTAAAGAGGTGTTGGTTTATCAAGTCATTAAGTTGATTATTAAACTTGAGCACAAGGAAGGGTCCACTTGACTTTAGTGCTTTTGATTTTGCTGCAAGCAGCTGCTTCAGAAAGCATTTTCTCTGTTTGGAATTGGGAATTGGGAATTGGGAATTGGACTTTGAGTCCTCATTTGTCGGTTTAGATGAGCAATGTTAAGTTCACACACACTAGACTTGACTGTACTGACTGACTGATACTGATATCTGATAGCCTCCCAAACCACACGCTTCCCTGCCCTCCCTCACTTTTACTAATCACTTTTAAGTAGTAAGTAAAGCCAAAAATAGTGAGACCTGGGCAGCTTCCTTTAATCTTTCTTACTCGATTTCCTTGAAAATAAAATGGTTTGGTTTCCTTGCTTAAAAGTAATATGTCTTGTGTTTGTCGGGTGGGAGATAGAAACCAAAAATTAAGTGGGTGGACGACCAAACCACTGGTCATATAGTTTCTGTCTGTCAGCATCATTCATTACCCTAATTTCATTCAACACCGTTGAAATTTGAAACTGGAGGAGCCTCTTCCTCTTGACTCTCTTGATTGCTGCTGTGATTGTCTGACTCTGACGGGGCAAACAGTAATGGTATGTAACCCAATATCAGATTTTGTTTCAGTCTACAAATATCAGATGGTATGGTACCCTCACTCACTCAGCTTGCTTTAGTTTGAGTCTACAAATATTATAGGAATTAATGGAACATAATTAATTCTACATCAACATTAATTTTCCAAATGCTAAATGCTTGTTAATGGTATGGAACCCAATATCAGATTTTGTCCTGCAGCCATTTCACCATTATCTGAAAGCAATGTGTGTTAATGTTAGGAGACTTGCTTTTACTTTTATACCCAAAAAAAAAAAAAAAAACTGTTATAAAAGGTTGTAGTAATTTTCTAGTCCAATTTTTGGATTGTTTTTAAAAGTACCCAATAGGCCCATTTAATTGAATGGATTCAAATTTGCGGCCCAAAAATGAAATTTCAACCTTTAAGCCCAAAATTGCATGATACGGGAAAAGAGAACACATAAATATTCATTGGGCCTGTACAACCCACAACTACGCTTGCTTGCTTTAGAATAACGAGTCGTTCTATAGTGAGGGTGTCATATATGTAACATAAATGTGGACCTTCATATTGGCCACATGATTAGTAACTTCACTTAAGTTTAATAAAATAATCATGTTGCTATTATGAAGGTTCACATGAAAGGTCCATATATGGCACCCTCACTATGGAATTTTGCTACCCTCATTGTTTTTTTGGGTCCACTTAAATTGTACGAAAGAATCATAGCCCAACGTTGAGTAAGCTTTCATTAGCAAACCCTTTCACTCGTATATACTAAAAGCAGCTCAACCCTTTTTTTTTTGGAGATTCACTATAATACCCAATATAAGAGCCCAAATTTAAAAAAAAAAAAAAAAAAAACCATATATGGAATGGACTTTAGAAACACACCCAAAGCCCATTTACAACACAACAAAAAAGGTTTTTAACTTCTTTTAAATTACAAAACTGCCATTGATTTCTTAAAACAAACCGAACCCAAAAACCTCATTAAAAAGCCCAAAACACTCAACGGGGCATCAAAGTAATTTAATAATTAAAATTAAAATGGTATAGGGTTTATTTATAGTTATAGGGGTGGTGTCATATCCCAGGATCGGCTCCGCCGTAGCACGATATTATCCGCTTTGGGTCCCCCTCTCTGCCCTCACGGTTTTGTTTTTGAGAACTCACGAGCAACTTCCCAATAGGTCATCCATCCTGGAATTGCTCTAGCCCCCAACTAGCTTAACTTCGGAGTTTCCATGACTCCGAAGCCAGTGAGCTCTCAAAAGGTCTCGTGCTAGATGGAGGCGGGCATGTACATATAAGATACATTACCTCCTCTCCGTTGGTAAATGTGGGATATTACAGTTGGAGGTTTAAACAAATATTCATTGGGTGTCTCGATCTCAGCCAACATAAATGGAGGTGAAAAAGTTCAACTAAGTGAGCTATATAGTCTAATGACGCTTGAATTGCTGCTTTTACAGCTTGTTTTCCGTTGAAGAAAATGAATTCATTGATTAGCCAAAGAAAAACGTTGTTTGGGTGGTTGGGGTTGGGGTTGGGGTTGGGGTAGGGACTAAGTTACCATGAATTATTAGGAGACAAAGCGGTACCAGTAATGGCATGAAGTCAAGTCAAGAATTTCAGCCCTACTTTCATTGCTACGTAGGGCTTTAATTAATCAAGCACGATTCTCATTCTGAAAAGAAAGAATCCATTCAATCCAAGAAAGATACTCCATTGCATATTGGGGGGATATGTGACCAAAAAGTTACACATTTTTTTGTAAGTCATGTAATAAGGTAAATAGCTGTAAGAGGAAACTTTGGCTGTTGGATTGGCCAAAAAAACTCATTTTGCAGGGCAACCAGGCCCAGGAGAGAAGAAAAACTTTGTTGTAACTTGTAAGTTGTAACTGGGATAAAACTGTTTTGCTATTTCAGACCAATAATGCAACGATACGTGGACAAATTATCACTTGTGTCGTTACACTATAGACAGGAGAGAAAAAGTGCTATATTCTTGTTGCATTAAAGTCTCTCTCCAAGAGGTGGGGTTTTGGATTTTGATGGTAGAACAGAATATTCATATTGGAGAGCTTTGCTTTCGCTTTGCAGTGGTAAAAATCACATTTATGCGTGATTTGATTTGTCCAGGAAAGTAAAGAGAAAAAGAGGAAAAGGTGAAAATCATTGTGCAAATAATGGGTGGAGTGGAGTGGAGTGGATGTTCTCAACTCGAAGGAATCGTAATCTAGCTAAAACCTCAACATGCACATATATAATGCCAGCTTAAAAGTGGCTTCGAAATCTGCGCATGGCTGGCCTGGCTTCGCTTGCATCAACAAAAACTTGAAATCGTGCAACTCTTTTCAGGGTTTTATAAATCTAAAAGTCTACTCATGATCTTTACATTAATTGTTAGCAATCTGTGCTGTGCGGCACGGCTTAGGGGGGTCGTTGAACTTGAAGTTAGCATTCGCACTGCAGAAATCATAAAGAAAAATTATTGCTAATTATGATTATTTAACCTAATGTATATAGCTTTTCAGCTTAATTTCTACGACAAATGAAAATATGCATTCCATTCTTTTGAGAGAGAGAGAGAGAGATTTGATAGCAGCTTTGGCCCTCCATAAAGGAAATCCACCAAATTTTGAAGATTTAACCCAAACTACGGATTCTAGTCCACACAAACTTGTCATTTTCTATATACAAAAAGACAAGAAATGGTGGAGAACTTTACAAGCTGATAATGAATGGGAAAGCCAAAAAAAATGGTGTCAGAGAGAATATAATGCAGCCCTTTGAGAATGTTGTAGGACCAAACTCCCATCAAACTGCGCTTTAAGTACTTATATAATTGTGCTGTACATGTACTGCCTGACTTTATCTATATGTATATATTTATTAGCAATGTCTAGGAACACGATCAACTTATTATCTTTTTTCCTCTGATTCAATTTCTATTTTCAACTCTGAGATTTTCCTATATGCATGTCCTGCTAGTTTAATTACAGGTATTGCAGCTGAGAGAGGGAGCAAAATAAGTGTTCCTAAGCACCCTTAAGTTTCTAAACCAAGAAATGAAAGAGGAAAAGAAACATGCATATGAGTGACAAATTACATCCAAATATGCAATTTTTTTTATAAAAAAAATTCACCAATGTGGTAAAAACATTAAACAGCTTTTGGAAATCTGAAGCCAGAAACCCTGCTAGCTCCCAGTCATCCTATTTAATGATGATGAGCAACATGATTGTTACCAAAACTACAATGAAATAGTACTGAAGGCAGGGAACTGAAAAAGGAGAAATAATTACAAATATAGCTAGCTAGCCTGGAAAGCAAGGGAAGAGTTGAGTTGAGTTGAGTTGAGTTGAGAGCATGTGCTTTTCTGAGAGACGAACGGTCATGTTGTCATTCTGCCTCTGCTTTCATGGCCCCCCCACTTACTCCCCTTCCAATTCTAGCTGCATTATTAGCACATACCAGCAAGCAAATCAGAATAGAAAAAAACAAAGATCGACACCGCATTTTTCACGCAAAAGTTGGCACTCGTTTAAAGATGTCCCTCCTCCTCGTCCTTCCTTGAGAGAGAGTGGGGCCTTTCTTATCACTTCATAGAACTTCATACTAAGTATGTCCCACTTGTTCTCTAGGGGCTGCAAGCCTGGCATTGAGTTTATCGGAATTTATATTTTCTTTTCAAATTAATTGAAGATATTAGCATTGTTTTCTTTTAAAATTAATTCAAGTGATAATGAAAGATTCCAACTCTTTATTTTCATGATTACAGTGGAGACAAACACAGTTCTCTCCTCTGCATATTATACATTTCAATGCTTAATTAGATTCAGTCCAAAAATTAGTGATGAGACAAGCAAAAGGGAAAGGGTAATTAATCAAAACAAACCCACATGGGCAAAGCTTAAAGATATTGATAAAGTGATGATCGATGATCACACCGTACGTGCATCCGATCTGACGAATGTGATAAGTTGTAAGGGAGTGAGTGTTTATACAATATATCATCTTCTGCATGCAAGTACAACAAGTCGTAGAACAGTGATACGCATTAAGTGAATACGTGTTTGAATTTTAGGAATCTCTCTCTCTCTCTCTCTCTCTCTCTCTCTCTCTCTCTCTAGAATCTGAATAATTATTTGGCAAAATTTGAAGTAGCCATAGTGGGAAGCAGATTTGCTTTGACAGGAGAGTCGTGGGGTTGTCAAGACTCAAGACTCAAGAAAAAAGCTAAAGTAGCTAGGAATTTATTGATCGATGAATAAAATTAAATAAGGGCCCCCATGCACACCATGCTGTCGATCCCCCTACCTTCCGTATATATAAAGACCCCATTCATGTCTTCATTCTTTAACTTAGAAATTTATTATTTCATATAGAGGTAGGTAGGTAGCGAGGTCATGGACAAGAAAAGATCATCATCATCATCATCAGTAGTGACATGGAAACCAGCTGCAGCAAATGCAAATACACAGGCGCCCAAGAAGAACTTGTGGACGCCAGAGGAGGACTTGATTCTAAAAAAATACGTGGAAACTCATGGTGAAGGCAATTGGGCCACTATGTCCCAGCGATCAGGTACTTCCTCTTACTTACTTGCCAATCAATTCATTTCTCATAGTCATACAAACACAAACAATTAAACACATGCACATACATACGCATATATAAAATATATGATATGCATGCAGGTCTGATGAGGAGTGGAAAGAGCTGTAGGCTGAGATGGAAGAATTACCTGAGACCCAACATAAAACGTGGACACATGTCCCAAGAGGAGCAAGACCTCATTATCCGAATGCATAAGCTTCTTGGCAATCGGTCAGTTATATTTAATCTTTAATCGTCATCAAAACAATTAATTGACCTACGTACTTAATTACCTATATATATTTGTAGATGGTCACTAATTGCTGGGAGGCTTCCTGGTCGAACGGATAATGAAGTGAAGAACTACTGGAATACCCATTTGAACAAGATGAGCTGCCCAGCTGCACCCAAAAGAAAAAGTAGCCATTTGAACAAGATCGTCACTAATAAGAAGAAAAAGAACAAAATCAGCAGCAGCACCATCACCACCACTTGTACTGATCGTACTGATGATCATCATGATCAAATTCAGAAGAAAGACGCCATTGACTTTGATCATGATCATCGCCAGGAACCAAACGGATCAAACCTTACTTCTAGTGCCAGCTGTTACTACAATGACATTAATGACATGGTAGAATCTCCAATATTCACATCGCACCACGACTGCCTGCAGTACCTGCCTACAAACTTGAACGCAACATTTCTGTTTGATCACGATGAGCCTTTCATTGCCTCCGACGCCGCCTCCTCTTCCTCCTATTTGGATTCTTTTCTTTTCTTTGAAGCATTTGGATCGTCTGCTGCTGCTACTGCGGCTGACATGGAATCAGTTTTGCCATTAGCGTGTGCTGATCATCATCTAGGTTGGTGATATATTAATTGAAGCTGCCCGACCCTCCTCATCTCCTCATCTCCTCTTCTCCTCATCACCTCATCTCCTCTTCTCCTTATCTCCTCATCATAATTTAATTAAATAAGAGCACTTGTATACTTGGGAGTAGAATCTGTTTTTTTTAAAATGCAAACAATATATTAACGAGGCAGAGCTTCGCACAAAATCTGAATCAAACAGAACAGTCCTCAATTTTTCTTTGGCAAAATCATACACCTAACATGTACCGTGTACCCCAGGCAGGCAGGCTCGGTAGAGTTGAATTACCCACACATCACATGGATGAAATTAAAAAGGAATTCGAGGCCTTCGAGCTTTGATTTCTCTCAACTAATGAATCAACTTTTCAACTCGACTCGTAGTCGTATGATACAAAACTTCACAGTTGACTTGACTCAATGTCAATAGTAATACTCACAACAAATCACAAGTAAATCCGGTACTGAATTAATAATAAATAATAAAAATTTGGCCAATTGATGATTGTATCATAAGAATTGACATGATATATTGTAAAAATCACTGATGCAGGTAAACCGACAAATACGAAAAATAAGCAAATTGTCTAAAGCAAAGTTTGATTTCTATGTCCAAGTTTAAAGTTGATAAATCCAATCCTTTCCTCCCTGGAATGGGAATTGGGAATACATTCATTTACAAAACGTCGTCTAGTTCCTGTTGCGGATACAATAATAAACCATAATCATCAACAGGCAATGAGGGTGGAGTTCCAGGAGGAATGCACGCAGCACCATTCTCACCAGCACATATACACAGAGCCTCCGCATCCCTCACAACTGCATCAAGATCTATATGACCACTCAGCTCATTAATGAACTTCAATAGAGTGTCAAAGTCCATCTGCTCCCCGATTATCTTACTACGGTGTCGCTTCAATATAGCAACACACACATACAGGTGCAGGTGCTCAGACGGATAATGTGCCCACAATACCTCCCACAACCGCATTGTTTTGTCGAATTCAAACTCCCTAAAGATATGTGATGAAACTCTATTAGGAAACAGGGAGCAAAAGTAAAATACAGTAACATTGTGTAGTAATGATCAACTATACAGTAACCCCCCCAAGCATATACATACACATGTACATTGATTAAACAGAATGCGGAACACTAAATAATCAACTAGTAGATCAAGGAACCAGACCTTTTAAATTGTATCAGAACCCAGCGGAAACAAAAGAAGTAATTCAAGCAGTCATGCTGTGTAAAGTGATTGTGCAGCGGAATGTCTAACAACTCCACCAACTGCAACAACAATGATTTAGAATTAATTAAAAACACAGAACTACTATTGCTGCCTGGCAAAACAAATGTAAGGTAAATAGAGGACCAGGCCACCAAATCTTCACGTCTAATAACTGGCATTAAAGTTTTGCTACACAATTTATGCAGATTGCTTGTTGTGCTATCCAATGTTTCCATCACATAACATGATGGCATGTACGAGAGAGAGAGAGAGAGAGAGAGAGAGAGAGAGAGAGAGAGAGACCTTAGTTATTGCAAAAAGTTGAGAGTGCATGCCATTTTGGTCCCGGTTAAAATTGGGCCCAAGACGCTCCATCAGTGAAACAAAACACCAAAATGTGTCTGACTCATCCTCCATTACAAACAATATTGGGGACAGAAGATCACTCATGCCCTGCAAGACAAAAGAAAGATATATATACATAACGAATACAAGGAACACAGAAGCTCTGATTGAACTGGGCTATGAAGTAACATATTACGACAACTAACAATTAGGAGTTCATTATTTAAAACATCACCACAAGAGACAGGAAGATGATCAACACAATATATCATGAACTATCCAAACCACATTTTGATGATAACATTGTACAATGGTATTTTACTTCAGCTTATTGTGTTTTGCATAAATGTAAAGAAATTCTATGCAGCCAACTGCAGCAAGAATCCACTGGGCACAAGAAGTAATCACCTGACAGTAACCAAGATCAAAGTTGTAAAATGAGTATGTTAACAGTATATCACGTAACAGGTTCACATTTGGATTATCGTCACCATCATAGAAGGAGAGAGATCTGTCAGTCCTTACCTTAAGAAAATTAGAACACAGTTAACAGTTTGACTTAAAAACTGTACTGTTAATTCATACGTGAAATGAAAGATCAAAATAAATTCTGCAAGTTTCATGATACCACATCTTTCTCAATCAGGCCTTTTCTCTCCCTGAATTTTGTAAATCGTTTGGCCTGCTCTGGGGAGATACTCTGCAGAGGAAAATACAAATACATATGTTACGCCACCTAATCAAGCTACTCATGAAAGTTGTGATGTTTGTGCGTGAGAGAGAGAGAGAGAAAGAGAGAGAGAGAGAGAGAGAGAGAGAGAGAGTGTGTGTGTGTGTGTGCATCAGTGGATAAAATTACAATAATGCTATTACATACCTGCCATTGCTTCTTTATGGTCTCAAACTCTGACTTCTTAACGGCCCTAAGGTATAACCTCTCAGCCTCTGTTGAATCATATGCATGGTATCCCAACAAGAACGGCCAGACCTAAATCATAATTAAGAATACTAATAAGAAAATGCATAATAAATAAAAAATCACTTAGCTCATAATACCCAACATACAACAGTATACGAACCTCTTTTCGTAATTCATGCTCAACTCCCCCATAAAATATTCTCTTTCGTAAAGCTTCAGAGTCCATGATCCTCCCTTCATAATCCAAGAAGGTTTTCCACTGCAAAAATAAGTGAAACTTAAACAAAGCAATATGATAATATGCACACATTTCTAGCAGAAATAGCCCAAAGGCATGGAATCAATGGGACATTTTAGATATTCACAACAAAAGTTGCACAAGGAAATCTATAAAAATGGAAACAACCAATTTCACATGGGCCTGGTTTATTTAATTTTGATAGATACTACATTGGTTCTAATCTGAAAACATGATCCCAACCTCCAATTGGTTAAGGTCTGGCTTTAAGGTTCATTCAAACCAAATCTCATAAGTAATGGGAACCTGATACCCAGGTTAAAATTGTCAATGTGGCATCAATAGACTTTTAAAAAATACAATATGCAGCACATCATGGAATTCCAAAAAGTAGAACACATCACATATATTACTAGTGAAACCAACTCTAGTAAATTTATGCAGGAACATCATAAATCTGCAAGACTTGCAATCAATTTCAGGAAACTAACTCACATCATACCTCCCAGATATGTATGGCTAATAGAGATAGTATCATAAAGTTAGCACAGACCTTATCTTCTAAAAGAAAATCCATTACCTCATCAGAGCCCAAAGGTGCCTGCCGTGGTTTTCCCCATACCAGTGATACTTTATCAAACTGCGGAGTTGAAAAAAGATAGTGATTACACTGGGCATGATAATTAGAAGGACATTGTATGCTAGACTAAACTTTAATTACATCTTAAAACCCCATTTTAACTGTGAACTTCTATTGAACACCAAGCCAGAAAAATTCATTGAGTCCATTTATGACTTGATAACACATTGATTGCAACAATTTTTCCCAAATTGCATTAATTAACTTGATAGAATAGAAGAATTACCTCCAGTGAATCTGGGGGAACAGGACTTTTATCGGGGACTTTGTTTGAATCATTAGATGCCTTCTGAGGATAATCAATGGGGGACAGGTTATTACTTCTCCTTTCTATAGCACCATATCCATTACTATGATTATCACGGAAGAGTTGTGAAGTTGTTTCCCGAGCAAATTTGGTCACAAGAGAGAACTTCTCCAACACTTGAATTGAAAGATCTCGTGCAGGATCATGAACCCTTTGTCTTTGCCTCTCGTTGTATTGAGCACTGCTTATACTTCCTTCATAAACATCCCCACTTGTTCTCTCCTGGTTTTCATCCGAAGAGGTCTCGCCAACTGAGACAGATGTAGATTGTCCACTTGCAACAGAAAGAGCCCTAGGCAACTCCAAAGATGATAGAGTTCTCTGAAGAAACCAATAAATCATAAGAAAACATTGCAGTTTCCAGCTTGGCAGTAACATCAAGAAGACCATAGTTGACAAGACACAAAGAGCAGAACAATTCCACCTTTCAGTTTGGTCAGACTTCACATTATTACGAGGTTAAGCCATAAAACATATGAAGAGCATCATGTTATTATGTCAACAAAACAGCGTTACTGGAAATAGATGATAGGAGAGACTAGGGAGTGGGCAAGCCGGTTAATGTTTAATGAAAGCATGATATGCATTTAAGAAATTCTCTTATTACACTCCATCATTTTTAATATAAGTCGGATCATTATCCACAGAGAGGGAAATAGATGTTCCATTGTGATGCAGGACAATTTTGCAGCACAAAAATATTATGTATCTATCAACTAACGAAAAATGACTGCCTTATAATAATTGTTGTGTGCTAAGTGCATGCAGAAAAAAAATTGTTGGTACGAAGTATATAGTAATATAAAATGACATTCATCTTGAAGGAGAGGTTTCATTTGCTCAAACAATGCATACCTGGAGAGGATTTTGAAAATCATTAACCAGAAATACATTTGCATCATCAGCTGACCTGGAAATGTTAAACAGAATAAAAATTCGAACTATGGTGGAATAAACCTACAGTTGGAACACCACTTATGTGCAAAATGGCATACCAGTACTACAAACTAAGCACAAAGATATCTCCATCTTATGCGCACGCGCACACAACACACGCTTGCATAAGCATTAACATTACTTCATTCTGAATTGAAGCTCCACATAAACCTTTCCTTATGGATAAAAATTTAATTCCAAGTTCCAATATATGGACTTCTATCTATTTTTAACTTGCGATGGAGAAACCAAGATCAGAACAGATAAATATAACATCTATTAACAATAACCAACCTCACAATAAAAACATGTTGCTTTATTGTAGCAAGAAACTCTTTGACTCCTCCATTGTAGAAGTACAGAGGAGGAAACGCAAGTCCTGAAAAATACTTCCTTTCAGACCACATATACAAATATAAACAAAACATCATACAAGAGTATACAGCTTTAGATATAAGCCTAAATAAACCAACCAGCAGAAGATAGGTACCTAGCTGCAGAAATAGTAAATTGATGCTATATTAAGAAAAACATGACGAGATACAGTGAAGCT